GAGAGAGAGATTGTAATCAAACGAAAAATTAATTTAAAATACAAAACGAAAAATAGACAAAAAAAATAAATATTAAACAAAATTAATTTGTATGGATTTTCTCAAATGATTCACTTTCGCCACATTCAAGTCAATCACCACTTTTGGTTCATCCAAACCCTCCGTCCCTTCACTGCCGGTGCCGCCACTTCCAGCGCCCGTATTGGCCCCGAGGCTGTCGGGATCGGCTTTGAGCGACAATTTACGGCGAGCGCCACCTCTCTTGACGGGCGCAGCGGTGCTGTCGATGGCGGAGAAGCCCTTGCGGTGCCGTTTGGCGCGTCGGCCGAACTGCGGACAGTCGTGTTTGCGGCGGACGTGATGCCGGAGATCGTCCTTCCGGTAGAACCGCGAGTCGCACGACTCGTGTTCGCACACGTACTGGCGTTCAGTGCAATGCGTTTCCCGTTTATGTCGGGCCAGATCTGCGAAAGACAATAGGAATTGAAGTTAACGCATGTATACTATGTGTGCTGAGCGGTTGTGTGAGCACCTGTTGGCCGGGCGAACGACGCCTGACATTCAATCATATCGCACCGATGGGGCCGATCGCCGGTATGCGTGTGCTTATGGCCGCGAAGCTGGTACGGCGCCAAATACGACTTCTCACAGCCTAATTGGTTACCATTAAAAACACAAACAAATAAATTGTATAAATGAGTACAAAATGAAGGGTCAGTGCGGGAGCGCCGCCACTGGCCATAAAGGGTACACATACCGGGCCAATCGCACTTATGGGGCTTATCCAGCGTATGACAGGCGCGCTTGTGATTCTTGAGCAGCTTATAGGTGCTGAACCTCCACGTGCAGCCCTCCCAATCGCACCCGTACTGCTTCTCGGCGCTATGCGTACGCTTGTGCTCTTTGATACTCCCCGGGTCTGAACAACTGATCCCATAATCAAATAAACAATAGACATTCAAATTAGTTGATCACAACATCAGATGGTGGTAGTGGTGGTAATACTGTACCTGTATTTGCAGTCCTGGAAGTCGCAGCGATAGGGCTTTTCGCCGGTGTGTATGCGATAGTGTTTCTGGAAGTTACCGGAGCTGTCGGTCGCGTATTGGCAGTCATTCCAATGGCACCGGAACTTCTTGGCGCCGGGCGTCAGGTCTCCTATAGTGTACACACAAATAAATCACATGTTATAACACACTTCACTCGATATAGTGAACACAAATAGTGGTTACCCTTCATCCGCTTAGCCCTCGGCCGGCGACCACTGGCGGCGGACTCGTCACCGGCCGCCGCGGCCAACAGTACGCTGTCGTCGATGGTCTGATTGCCTCCACTGCCCGACAGCAACAGATGCGACACATACTGAACGCTGCCGTCGGCCGACATGAGTGTCGTCGTCTGATCGACGATCTCATCGTCGCCGCCGTCGTCGCCGTCACCGACGCTCAGGTCGTCGTCATCGCCGGTCTCGTCGACAATGCCGTACGTGTCGTCATCGGCGCCGGCGGTCATCATATCGCTAGCTGTGGTCTCAATGGCCGCCAAAGAGTCGCTGTCATCGCCAGCGATAGCGGTGTCGTCGACACCATCGCCGGTGCGGTCATTATCGTCGTCGCCGCTGTCGACGACCACTTCCGGGCCGTCAAACTCCATGCGATTCAACAGACACTTGAGGTGACAATAGTCTTCGTCCAGACGTTGCAGTTCCCGATCAAAGGGCACCAATTGGTGACCACCTGTGCCGCCACCGGTAGTGGCGGTCACCTCTGCGGCGATTATGTGGACCTTTTGCTCGAGCGATGTCTTAATGGTCTCCAATGTCTCCAACAATCTCTTGAGGACTTTATTACAAGCGGTCAGCGACTCGTTGTCCGACTCCAGGAGTCGGTTGTTGTCCACGAGTTGGTCGTACGATGTCTTCAGCTGTTCGTACGCCTCGTAGTCCACAATACCGTCCATTGATTGGATCCACTCTTTTCGGTCAATTTCGGTCAAACTCTTTGGACTTTCGGCCGAATAAATGCATTATATTTTTGGTCTCTTTTTTCAAATGAAAACAATTTATTGTTTTTTTCGCTTTCCTTTGCGTTGGGTTTGAAGTCATAAATGACGTCAATATATAGTTTCGGGCCTTTTTATGAGCAGACGTTCGCAGTGTTAAAACGTGTAGTTTTTATTGTGTATTAAAGGCCCAAAATAGCGGTCGGATTAATGCATTGAATTGCCGATAGTTTTAGCTGTTATATACCAATAAGTTTTGTATGTATTAATGCTATTCTCAATACATATAAAAAGGGCACGAATTGGTCATCGCTTTGAATGTCAATCGTATGTCAAAACGTATAATGCATTCAAAAATATTGTAAACAATAATTATTTTTTGTCAGTTTTTTTCTCTTGAGATAAGAGTTGTTTAGTTTTGATTAAAACTAATCATTCATTAAATGTTTGACTAATTCATGGATTAAAGTGTGAACTCATTTGACAATTGGCTACACGTGTTGTCTCTGCAGCTGAAGACTGATCCGAAGGTGAGAGAGGGAGGAGAGAGAGAGAGAGAGAGAGCTCTAGAGTTGTGAATGAAGTGATAATTGCGATAATAATAGACATTATAATCACAGCTCAAGACATTGCCGGCGATTGGACTATAAGACAAGACCTGACAGTACAAGACATCGCGAGTGAAGACATATCACAAGAGACCACAACTCCAGACAACAGTTGACAGACAGACAGATCCCGGAGTGACAGACAGATCGGGTGACCGGCGATGGACTGTCTAGTGGTGGACCGGATCGGCTACGAGCGCATGAAACTCGAGTGGCAACAGTACAGGGCTCGGGTCCAAGAGGTGGAGCGCGAGAACGATCTGATCCGCAACGAACTCCAGCTGACGAAGAAGTTGTGCCACGCGTTGGAACAGCTCCGGGAGTGCCACCAATCGCAGAGCAAGTGTGTGGACGGCGATCACGCGGGCGCTCACTGTTGCCTCAAACCGGACCGACGACTGCCGGTGACAGTGGCTGACGAGGAAGTGGTCGATGTGGACGCGGCTTACGAGCGACAGGTGGACGTGTGGGCGGCGGAGTACGCGGCCATCAAGTCTATGCTCAACCAATTGAGTCTTCTGGGCGTCGGTTCGGCCGCCACTGCCGTTGACTGCGGCGCCGACACATCTCTGGTCACACATGAGCTCGTGCTGAGCAATACGGCTGTGGCCGCCGCCGCTGCCGTGGATCAGCTCTGGACGACAACCACTGGCTGTGCGACTACTGTTGTGGTGACAGACGGCTAGCATTTGACTAATCCGGACGCCTATCTGTGCGGAGGCGCCGATGGGATGGACACAGAGGTCAACGGTTTGTCAGACGATACCTGTGTTGTCCACAATGTGTTGATAGCGGCCAACGATGGCGGAGGTAGTGTCGGCACCGGTGGGGCCGCAGACACACCGACTGTTCCGAAGGCCGCCAAACGTAAAATACAAACGAAAAAACTCAAAGGTTTGGATATTTCTTTGGTCTCTTTCTCTCTCTCTCTCTCTCTCTCT